GAATCGATTACAACAAAATAAATATTGGGTGGCCTGATGCACTTTATTGTTCGTTTATATATATATATATATATATATATATATATATATATATAGCGTTCGAGAGTAAAGACCACGGGTTGGAATCCCGCCAGTGGTATCATTGATGCTCACTGCTGGGGAGTCTCGCAATAGGACTCAATGGCCGTCCAATGCTTCCAGGTTTTCAATGGTGGTCTAATATCAATCAGTTCATGATCTCAATTATAACAGTTAGAAATGTTAGACGTTATCTATTTGTGTATCCGAATGACTAGAACAGTAATATAAATATAAACACAAAATTTGATTACAGTAAATTAAAAAAAATATTGTCAATAATGCATGACTAATAGCTTATCCTGATATAACAAGATAGATGTATGAATCTTTATTTTTAACTCAGTGTAATTTTTCTTGAACATTACCTCCACTCCTAATTCAATAGGGTGATTACTCGGAGTAATATTTGTTTTAATTTCTGTATAGCACTATGTTCAGTACAGCGTTGGTTTAGGATAATATGCCTTGCATTAATTCACTGTACAATTTGTAGCTTGGATATTTATGTAATTCTATTTATTTTTATGTGGAATAATTGTTAATTAATCATTAAGTATGGGTAAAATCAGCATATAAATATGCGTATTTATATATCACTTTGATTTGTTTCCGGGGTCAAAGAAAATTTTCTCACTATGTGAAATTTTAAACCAAATGAAACTAATTAGGAAATTGATAATAAAAGCAGTGAAGATTTGTTTATATGTTATACACAGAAATAAATGAAATCAAAACCGTAGCTTTCAATATTTTTCGAGATGTTGATGGAATCAAAATATATAATTTTATAAGAAAAATAACTGAGGAAGGTCTGAGAATGCAAAAGTTAACCTACAGTTATAGATACACATTTACACATTACATTCAACTTATCTATTATACAATGCAAGGAATCATACAGTAATTAAAAAAATAAAACTAAGTTTTTATACATTTTTATAATCGATTTAAATTATTAAAGACTTTTAGACAGGAGAAATCACAATGTCATAAGTTTCGCCTTCATTATATAATCCATCCTTTTGAGTTGTTTGCACTAGTACTAACAGACATCAGTGAACAAGCTGGTGACTCGAAATTATTTCCAGGAAATATTTTAGACCATTCAAATCTTATATGATTAGTTGATATACATACATGATTATTTTCTCACTTTTAAAACAAAATTAGCTAATAATACTTTTCATCTGTAACAGGTAAAATATTCAAGGTCATGAAAACACCGCTGCAGATTGTATGGACTAACGCTAATGTTGACTAAAGTTCATATAGCGATGTATGTCTCTGTGTATATCCTAAAGAAAACCGAATCATATAAGACTCTTCAGCTTGTCACAATAAACTAGAGTCTTTATGTTTCGACAATAAATGAAATATATCAATAGATGCGAATTGTTTTAACATATCACCTATACTGAGATTTTCGAAATGAAATGTCACTGAAAATTACTTATTGTTCTTCGGTTCATTTATCTGTATTCAGCCACAGTTCGCTGAATTTTCCACCGTATCATTTAGCATTCTTCAACTATATTGTCTGTATTTTCTAGTAAGAAACCACTTAGAATTATAATTTTGGTGGTTGAAATCATGAGTCAATTAAAGCTGGACCACCATGATAAACCTTGAAGCACTGGGCAGCCGTTTCGTCTTAGTATGGAACTCCTCAACAGTGTGCATCCACGATCTCGCTCTCAGGATTCGAGCACAAGACCTATCAATCTCGCGAGCGAGCGCTTAATCACTAGACCACTGAGACGGCATTCAATGGTATTAATGTCTAACTTCAACTAATCTACGAAATTGAGCGCTATATCCATCATTGTCTTCAGTGAGTTGATACCTCAAAACAGACCCGGTTGAACTTCACTGGTGGTTGCTTCTCAATAGAACTCCAGGAAATACTTTTTGAAGCCAGTCACTAGTGAGTATATGTTAATTCATATCAGAAGGGGTTTGTTGATATTATAGTAATTTCAATGGTTGAGATCGTGAGACTGGCGTGGGGCGGGATGTGGATCAGCATTGTTGAGGAGTCCCACAATTGGACGAAAGGACCGTCCAGTGCTTCCAGGTCTTCCATGGTTGTCTAGTTTCAAGTGACTCATGATCTCAACCACTGAAATTACTATAGTATCCACAAACCCCTTCTGATATGAATAATAATTTCATAAAAGATTAGTTTGTCATATCTATCGAGTTTCTGGAAACTTCAGAATTTTATTAGATCAACACTGATTGTAAACTTTGAACTGTTAGGTTTAAATTCACACCGTTAACTAGTCAGTTTCTGTCAAAATCAAAATACGCGCTTGGAAAAATTAGGATTCTTTTATGAATATTCATAAATATTTGAATGAATATTTTGACTGTAATTGCCCTCCAAGTTCATAGGAGATAAGTTTGTGTAAACGAAACGTTAGAAACATTTTAATTTCAATCACTGAGATAATTTCAAATATATTCTTCAGTATATAATACCTTCCATAATTTTCTCAACACTATAGGATCTAATGCCAATTGAAACTTCACAACAAATTTATCAGTGGTCTAGATACCAGGTCCTATCATGTTGTCATTTAGATAAGCTGAATTTACTAATGATGTCCGTATGTATACTTTAAGTCTTAATACATGGCACAGAGAATAAATGTTAAGTAATTTTTACCACATTAATTAAACGTTAAATGAATAACCAAAAGTTTTCTTTATACATAAATATCTACTGATATGTGGATAAGATGATGAACGACTGTGATTTATTGTAGTGTTACTACTGTTAAATAGCTTTCTTATAATGTTACTATGGCTACCACACAATATGTGATTGTTCCGCAATGAGTCTTTTCATAAGAAAATTATTATTAAATGAATGTGAATCAAAGATTGACGTGACGTCATACAATCCGCATTAACAGTGGTTTTATAACCTTGAAACTGCAAATCTAACAAACAGGGCAAAGTAATGATCCAAATAACATAGAAGTGTACAGTATTAGTAGAAACCCTTTAAAAGACTCATATTCTAAATTTAATCTCAAGATGCTTTTTTAACTAACAAATCTCTTTATTATTATAATTTGTTTGAGGTATGTTACGGTTTAAATTTTATTTGCTTATACAAATTTACTGGAAAGATTTAAACTACCAGGTACACATAAAACGTCGTAATGGACATTTCGTTTACCTACATGCAGAAATGGATTTTTCTTGAGTAAACAGTGTTATGTGTTGAATATGAACTTTCTTGTTTAAAAATATACATTTTCACCCTTTATTTAAATATCCCTTTTACAAGTTTTTCTGCGCATACGTTCATATTTAAACACAACATAGCTAACATATTCTCGTCCCCCTAATACTTAGTATGCACAAAAACAAGCTTTTTTGTATTATTAGCTTCAATTTTATTTCTCAATTATTTTGATAAATTATCTGCTTCTGCTTAAACAAAATTAGAATGATAAATGTTAAGTTTATGCAAAACAGCATCTAATTATTCTGGTGCAACAATACATTTTTTACCATTGATTCCTAATTTCCAACACAATTTTTAAGATGTTATCATCAATCTGATTATATATATTCTCTACTTCCTTTTACAATATTCATTGTATCTTACCAAGAAATATTTGCAAACTCTCAGCTTTGTAAACAATCAAAACTTACTCGTGTAATGAGAATTTCAAAGTCACATATCAATGGTGAAGAAAGAAACAATTGGAAATTATGAAGTGATAAATGAGTAGACTTATATTCAAATTCAATGAAATTATTGATGGTCTGAATGTTCTTATAATTATAATTTTCTTTCAATTTTTAGCCTTGTATTAATGATGAAATCTACAAAGTGGAATTTATAATAAACCCAGAATAATAATTCATAGTCAGTGTGCTAGTGTATTGCCGTTGAAATAAATCTTAAAATATTTATGAAGAATAATTTATAAATCGATTTTATCAAAAGGGGTTTTTGTGGATAATTGAGATCATGAGTCATTTGAAGCTAGACCAAGATGGAAAACCTGGAAGCACTGGAAGACTGTTTCGTCCTACTGTAGAGCTCATCTGATATGTGCATCCAGGATCTCGTTTCGTGAGATTCGGACACAGGACTATTGCTCTTGAGCGCGAGCATTTGACCACTAGACCACTGAGTCAGTTGGCATCAAACACTGTTAATTAATCTCTAACTTCAACTAATTCATAAAATTGAGGCACCGTGCGGCATTGTCTTCATTGAGCTACTATCTCACAACTGACCCAGTTGAACTCCACTGGTCACTGCTTCTCATTGGATTTCCAGGAAATACCTTTAAAAGCCAGTCACTAGTTATCATATGCTGATTAACATCAAAAGTGTTCTTGTGGATATTATTGTAATTTCAATAACGATCGTAATTTCAATAAAAATACGAATAATAATCATTGTTCAGTTTATAGTTATCTAATAATAAATTGTTAAGCTCATGAGTCCATTGAAAGTAGATCACCATGTAAAACCTATAAGCACATTAAGAACATTTGATCTTATTCTAGAACTCCTCAATAGTGAACATTCATAATTCAACTTTAATAAATTAATTCTCTTAAACCTAATTGGTTATTATAATCTAAACCAATCAAATTCATACTATTTAAATTATTTAATATTTGTTTAATCTTCACAATTATTTCTTTATATTCATTATGTTAAATTAGATAAACAAACACAGTGACTAATTCATTTTAATTTATAATAATAATAATAATTTTCATAATACAAACTTTAAAATATAAATAATTTTAATTGTCTTTTATATTTTGATTATATTTGATCAAGTAGAATATACTACTAATACTATTGTTGTTATTATTAATGTACTACTTATAATACAACTTTATTATCCATAATTATTGATTAAATATAATAAATTAAAATGTTTTTATTAACAAGATTATCCGATATAAATAAACCATCATTAACAGAACGATATGATAAACTTGGTTTATTATCTAATAGTTATTCATTTCAATGGGATACTAATTCATTTCATACTATAAATATAAAATCTAATAAAGATAATAAATATAAATCATTTCTACTTTATTTATATAATACAACAAAGCATAAAATTGAAAAAACATTTAATACATTACATTGTTATAATAAAATAATAATACAAAAATCGAATTATTCTATGGATAAAGAAATAAACAATAAATCAATACCTATTCAACTGAATAAAATTGATAATAATACTAATAATAATAATAACGATAGTAATAATAAACAATGTAAAACATATTTAAAAGAGAATATAATTAAATCAAAATCTTATTGTATATCTAACGATAACAGTATACAATCAATGGAATCATTATATAATTCAGGACGTATTATTCATAGAAAACATATAAAATATCGTAAATGGAAAAATAAAATCAATATCAAATATAAAACGTGTAACAATATAAAAATGAATGAAAAATCAATAAATTTTAATAATAATAATATATTAAATTTTAATTATTATTCACAACAAATTGATTCTAAGTGTTCATTAAAAAAACTAGTAAATGACAATAAAATATCAAATATACATAAACAATTTTTATTTGGTCAATTAATTAATGATAATCAATGGGATTTATTTTTATTTTTATTAAATACTGATATAAATATTAATTCTTTACAAAAAAAAATTAAATTATCAAATCACTATGAATTTAATAAATATGAAACAATAATTATTGAAATATATCCATCAGTTATTGATCTTTTTTTAAGAAATATTCCATCGAATCTATCTTCTTCTTCTTCCACAAATGGAATTTATTCAATAATACTTTCATGTCTTCTTGATAATGGAGCTGATATTCATAATATAAATAATTTTAATCAATATCAATTTAATGGTGGTATACAATTAAATACTTTATCTTATATATTTGAACAAATTTCAATACAACTAAATAATAGTTTACAAATAATCAATATTATAAATAATTATCAATTTATTGATAATGCTGGTCTTTTAAGACAATTATTAAATTCTGGTATGATTCCTAAAAAATTATTTTTTCTTATTTATACTAATAAATTATTATTGAATATAAATGAATCAATAATACTTAATAATAATATTAATAATAATAATAATACAAATCAAATATATAAAAATAATTTTTATCCACTACTTATATATGAATTAGTAAAATGGAATTTTTCTAATAAAAATGCAACACAATATCTTCCAATTATATTACAATCATTTATTGTATTATTTTTTAATTTTATATATTCTGGATTATGTAAATTACCTGAAAATCTATATGATATAATCGATAATCATTTAATAAATCAATATAATTATTACAATATTATTGATAATAATAATAATGAATATCATTATAAAGATTATATTAATAATCATCAATATTATTTATCATATTTTAATTATTATCATAATAAATTTTTACAACTTATTAATAAACAACCATTTAGTTTATTTGTACAATGTAGATATAAAATAAGAAATCAAATAGATACAAAATATTTTAATAAAATAATAATGAATTCAAATAGATTTAATAATCATTTTATAATAAATAATGAATTTTATAATAAATTAATTAAATTACCTGATCAATTAAAACATGCTATTGGTTATATGGAAGTGATACATTTAAAAAATGAATTATATACTTTAACACAAACAATATAGTATCATTTTATGTATATAAATATATGATGAAATAGAAGGAAGTATTTTTTTCATTCTTTGTATAATTTAGTTATCATTATGTAGAAAAATAAAATATTTTGATGTATATTTGATAAAAAAAGAATTATTATTTAATGAATTTTTATTTATTGATTAAATAATGATCCAGATCTGAAATTGTTGAAATCAAGATCAAATTTACCAAAACAGTGATTAATGTACCGATTCTAAATAAGGAGCTACAAATATTCTTCATAATAACTTACTTACGCCTGTTACTCCCAATGGAGCATAGGCCACCGAACAGCATTCTCCAACACACTCTGTCTTGGGCCTTCTTTCCTAGTTCCATCTAATTCTTGTTCATTTTTCTCATGTCTGTCTCCGTTTCTCGATGTAATGTGTTCTGTGGTCTTCTCTTTTTTCATTGACCTTGAGGATTCCATGTGAAGGCTTGTCTTGTGACGCAGTTGGGTGCTTTCCTCAATGTGTGTTCTATCCAATTTCAGCACTTCTCTCTGATTTCTTCTTCCACTGGGATCTGGTTTGTTCTCTCCCACAGTAGGTTGTTGCTAATAGTGTCCGTCCAACGGATCCGAAGTATTTTGTGTAGACAACTGTTAATAAACGCCTGTATCTTCTGGATGGTGGCTTTTGTAGTTCTCCAAGTTTCCGCTCCATGCAGTAGAACTGTCTTCACATTTGTATTGAAAATTCCGACTTTGGTGTTGATTGCCAATTGTTTTGAGTTCTAGATGTTCTTCAGTTGTAGATATGCTGTTCTTGTTTTTTGGATCCGCGCCTTCACATCTGCATCAGATCCACCGTATTCATCAATGCTGCTGCCCAGATATGCAAAGGATTTTATATATTCTAAATCTCGGTCAATTGTGATTCAATTATTTCATGCTGTGCTGTATCAGGGAATCTTGCTTTTCCCTTTGTGTATATTGATCCTTCATAATAAATAAATAAATATATTTTTAATATCTCAATGAGTAGAAAAATTAGATTTTCTGATGCTTTGTGAATAAGTGTAAGCCACTTCCTTATTACTTATTCTATGAAGAAGTGGCTCACAATAACTCACGAAACATCAGTAAATCTTATTTTTCTGCTCATTGGGTTATTACAAATATATTATTTTTATTTATAACAATCTACCCAAAGCCCAAGTTATTCGAAATTATCAATTCGAATCTTGGTAATGAGACCTGGGAATTCTTTCTAATGATATTCACTATCAGTTTTGTTTTTATCAGTTTAGGTGATACCAACATGATTTATATGTTTTCACCTTGTTTTCTGATATGATGAGAAGAAAAATCAATATTCGATTTATTCAATATGAGTTTTATTCATCATTACATCCTTTTTGATTCAATGTAATGATCACTCAATGTAGTATTTCTTTTCTTTTCTCGTATGATATTTTAATCTGTATAATATACAATATTCTTGTATTTCATTGACTATGAACTATACTCAGAATATGATTTGTTATAACTGTATTTTTCATGTATGTGATTTCATTCTAATTATTAATCAAAACGGGTGTACAATCAATATATAAACGAGTGTATTTTCTACTAAGCTCGCTCAGTTTTCTGGTTGCTGCAGAACACACTTCTCATTCCGAGCTTGGACATCTCCCTCTAGATAGCTGGGGTGGGGACGCGTCAATAGTTAGCTTACTGGTCCTTGATCACCGAATCTCGATCTCATTCGCAAATTACGTGAACCCGTGATAGATCTCTTTTCAAATCAGCGATTTCTTGATTATTCAATTACTAAGTGAATGAATAATAGCTTATTATTATAAATGCATGAAAATATACTAATAAAATACCTACTCGGAAAACTGTAAGATTTAAGCCTTGAATCAGTCAAAAGAATTCATTATCATTAAACTTTGACTACGCAGACACAGAAGTAGTCAAGGTGATTTCATATTACATGTATAGTATCAGATAATTCATTATATTGAAAGTAACTGTTATGGATTCGATGACTGTTATTTTGCTAGCATACTTTTACTTTCCAACCATAAGTACATTTATATATATAAATTATTTTAAATGTAAAGTCACTAGTTTTTCTATAAGTGGTTTGGTGGTGTGTGTTACTGATGTTGACAGATGTAAAAAGTATGTATCATTAATTGAAAGTCGAATACCTGGTGCCAGAAGGTTGAGAAAATAAAAGAGAACAAGTACAGAGAGTGATCGGTGTGGAAACGAAGGAACAACAAAGCCTGAGACAATTGATGGACAATTTGCAAATGAAGTATTTACTGTATGGTTCTCAGACTTTACAAAGTTATTCTATAATGTTGTATTAAAATACATTTATTTGTCCTGACCTGTGTGCTCGTTCATTATAATTTCAGTCATGCTAATGATTTGTTGTCTATTGAAAAGTCATTTGTCAAATATTACGAATTCGACAGAGTTTAATGATAAATTGAATCATAAACTGACATCAGTTAAACGATTCTCTTATTGAACTCGCAATGCTTATTCGAGTCTGGTAAGCTTTATGAATAAATTCATTCTAATATTAATAAATTGTGGTTGTCGATTAACACCTCTGGTGAGTTATTCTTTCATGCTTGATTTGACTAAACCTACATGCTTTGAATTGCCGTTACAACATTTTCAAACCATTTCTAAACTTAATCGCTGGTTATATTCAGACATGAAAATCGGTTTACATTACTTCAAGAATGCTTAGTGTTTGCTATATGAGTAAGCTTATATCATAGTAAACGAGAACACAAGTAGGCACAGCTGAATGCATTCGAACTCAAAATTACAGAACATCTTACTAATATCTGCGAACAATACAACAAACGCTTAATTTGCTAAATGTCAATCCGTTGTCTCAAACTTAGCTGTTCCTTTTGCAAATGTCACTCAACCGTCTCAGAATTCATTGTTCCTTCATTTAAACAGCAATCATTCATTGATCTCGTTCTCTTTTCTTCGATCCCCTTAACATTCTGCTGTCAGGTATTTCACTTTCGATTGGCGATACATACTACTTATATTTGTCGACATCAGTAGCACACACCACATTCTCAACTTTAGTTAATTCACAGTTATTACGCGGTGATGACTTAAATTTTATGATCTTTTAAATTGGTTTTGTGTACAAATGCAAAGCGAGACCAGTGACGATGAGGGATTCCCGCCTAATTTATCAAATTCATTTCAGTGATACTGAATAACAGTCCAACCAGTCTCCCTCTACTATATAAATGCATTTGTCTACTCTAGACAGTAAACAATTTACCGACTGAATGGTACATATGAATGAATGTAAGAGATTATTGTTACATAATGTGTCAAGTTGTAGTATCCTTCTACTCTGTACATGTATACATATATCTTATATTTTAATCCAGTAAGATACCACTTCTCTTTTGAATTTTTGGTGAGATCATGATCTATTAACATCAGTAACACACACCATAATGTTACATAATGTATTCTTACAAGTTGAAAATTATCTTATGCTTCAAACAGTATCCTACTTATGATGCATAACTTTGTATGCATTTTACTTCATAGAACATTGCGTTTTTTATAAACATTTAACACAATTCCATAAATACTATAATGATTTGTTGATTAGTTTACATATTATGTAAATAGGGATAGGAACTTTCCTTAGAGTTTATGTAAAAGTACTATAGGTTTTATAGCATTGAAATCTTCATTAACAATTCGTTCAGTTGCATTAATTCTACATTTTAATTCCGTTAAAATATACATCACATCAGAATAATATTTATCCAATGAAAGATATAAAAGTATTAAATGTGAAAAACATTACTAACAAACAATAAAACTATCACTGTTAAATAGAAATTTTAAAAAATCGTTACAAATATTTACTTGTATTATTATGAAAATGCGCAATTTTCATAAAATTAAAAGAATAATCAAAACATGACAAATGCTTAACTCTTAAATGGTTTAAGATTTTGATTGAGATCGTGAACTGATTAATGTTAGATCACCATTGAAAGCCTGGAAGCACTGGACGGCTATTTCATCCTATACTAGGATTCCTCAGCAGTGTGCATTCACGATCCCGTTTGTGGGATTCGAACTTAGGGCTTTCAGTCTCATGCACGGGCGCTTAAACTTTGAAATAAATCAATATTCATTATGTTTTCTAGTGAAAAAATTTACAATTTATTATAATGTGTACATTTGATATTTCATTCAGCATATATTTTGAACGTTCTATTTTCAGTCTTTCACATTTTACAACATATCACAATATTATTGAAGCTAAGCGTTCAATATATTTTATATTGAAGTCTTTGAATTAACAGATTACATGTATTCATATTCATTGTACAATTTAAAAAGTGGATTCAATCTTGATATAGTTTGTTTATTAAATATCATTGTGTCTGTGTGTGTTCATTACTTAGTTAATGATAAAGAGTGTAAGTCTTTAATCCTAATAGCAAATAGTTTATTTATATAATTAAAATTGAAATATGATACGATAAGACTTATGTCGTTCAAAAAACTTTATTATACATCTTTTTTGGCTTCTCTTTGAAAATTGTACATGATCACAATACAAATTTATAGTCATGAACTTTCTCAGTGACGTTTTAATAGTAAAAAAATGAGTTTCCAGTCAGAACAATTGAAAATTTTAATGAAGCTGTAAAAATGTACTTTATATTTTACACAACGAACTAATAATATCTGACAACCATTAAAAACCAGGAAGTACTGAATAGCTATTTCGTCGAGTTTTAGGACTCATTAGAAGTATACATCCATGATAATACTGTTGCTGAGATGTCTCATTCTACAATGGTTCATCTATCTCGTGCTTTCCAGTTCTCATTAATTGTTAATGTACAGCCAGTGCGTTATGTTAACCGTAAACGTTAACTGTCTTTACGTAAACTCCCATACGGAAAATCTAGTAATTTGTGTCGGATTGTTAGATCTTGATAATCAGAGGTT